ACTATATAAGTTTATGGAAGATATTTGAAATAGGAGTAGAATTACCCCTGCTTACCCTGTAGTGATATTTTTCGGAAAGTTGAAAAAAACTATGTTTAATACTTGCGCCGGGTATCTAATGTTCGGCTCCGCCCGATCTTAGACTTTTTTTACTTGTTTAAATATTAGGGGTCTTCATCAAAAATGATAAACTCTTGATAAACTTGATAACACGATAAATTTATAATTTTGATTAATGAACTGTCGGCCGCTGTGGTGTAGTGGTAAAAAGTGCGCGCGGACGTGCCCTCTTATTTCATCCTATCAAAAAACGTACTAGCGCCGCCAAAGAGAAGGCATGTCCTTGTTACATGCATGTTTTACTGCCGTTATAATGAGTTGTCCCTTCTTGTTATCTACGTAATTTGTCTGTATCGCGATCCATCAATATTTGATGCTACATCTTCAATAAATATCAAGATCGAGGATCGCGATACTGAATCGCGCCGTGTAGCATTGATGGATCGCAATTATTTAGGGAATTCCCTTAAACTCGTATAGCCTTAAACCGTGTAAAACTCGTAAGTATACGAGGCTTTTATGGGAACGCCCCCTTTGCGAAAAGGTGTAAATAGATCCGTAAAGTGACTGTTGGACAGATCAACCAGGAATTTATGAAGCAATTTTTATTTCGTAGTATTTTCCATAACATTCCGTCATCATGTCTCTATCAATCTTGGCTAAAATATAATTAAAAATGCCGAAATTTTGCTGGAAACCTAAGTCAATACAGTTAGTGGATGAAATTCATTTATTTTATTCGCGTATTATTTTTTTTAGTTTATTTTCATTATTTTATCATAAATTTTTGTATAAAAAATCGCCAACACTGAAGTTTACGAGTTTAAGGGAAGGCCCCTAGCATGATACAAAAAAGAAGGTAGTTTCAATAAACAACTTTTTGATTACAATGGAGATTTTTGGCAATTGCTCAATTGTAAAAAGTTCGAAACGGCGTTACCCAATTTAAGTTTTTTAGTAGAGGGGATTTTATATCCTAAATTTGGGAGTATAAATAAAATAGTTGTATTAACATTTATCTTTTAAAAATAATTAATATCTTCTCTCAAAAACGTTTTAATTTTACACTAAATTCGATAACTACTTGCCAGCATCTTTATTTTTACATTAATAAAATTTTAGTGAACATATTTTAAAATTTTTTAGTGTCATTATGTCATCTGATTATTTCACAATGTAGCTAGCCAGGACTATTTGTTTTCTATATCGGATACGTTTATTTCAGATATATTTCAGACACTGAAATTACAATTTCGATATTTTCTTTGCCAATGTCTTTCAAGTAACTTGAAAACGAAATTTTCTTTGGGGCCCATGGACCTCATGGCTTTCAGAGAAGTAAGTATTATCTAATTCTAGTATATTTCGACAATATCGTTGTCTCTGTGGGTAAAAACAAATATATTTTACTGTTCAATATTGGAAGGGGTGTGAAACAAAATTGATGACTTATTGTTAGTATGAAAACTATAAACACAGTTATCAACTTATTGAGCATTAGACCTTTTCTCGTTCAAAAACAAAAGGAGAAATGTTCGGTTATTTGTTCAATGGTTTTGGGGTGGCAAGCGGAGACGGAACCATTAAAAAATTGGGTAAAATTAGAATTTTGACAGAGAAAATGTAAGTCCAACTCCGGCTACGCTGCCACGCTACCACAGTATTTTTTAATAATTTGTATCTTAAATTTAGAAATCTTTATTTTAAACTAACGTGTAATTGTTTGACCACACATGTGGCAAAATTTTTTGCTTTGGGTTAACCATTTGGACACATTAACCCAAAATTATTGTACAAGTAACCGAGTCGTACCCAACAATATACCTTTTGCTTGTTCAAATTTCGATTCTAAGAACAAAATGTTTGTAAATAACCGAAAAATTAATAACAAAATTTGGAGGTTTTTAGATATTGGATATGGTAGCATGAAATGTCACAATCTACTTAATGATCAGGTTGTTAATATGGCGACGAAAAAGTGACAATGAAACTACCTTCTTTTTTGTATCATGGCCCCTAGTACCACAAGATTTTTAAATATTAGGTTCTTTCCCATACGCAACGCGGGATCCCCCGGGTGCCGAAAACCGCCCAGAAATCATTCCCGTACTCAACAAAATGGGTAATAGAGAGCGGAAACTGGATCGTATTGGATCAAGAATGATAGAATACAAGATTGCGCCGTCCTGGGCGTTGACATTTGTGTACCACAAGTAAACAAAGAATAGAGCGAAAAGAAGACCGAGTTGAAACTGCCAAAGCGGTTCACTTTACTGCGAAAAACGTGTTTTAATTTTGCTAAATGCGAAAATATTGCATTTGTCTTCTAATCTATTAGAGAACAGTGAACATATTAGTGCACTCCATTGCTTTGCAATTGAGCCTGCTTCAGCAAATGTTTTAGTGCACTTTCTTGCTTTGCAATTAAGGCTGCTGCAGAAAACTGCAGCAGCATCTCTCTGCGGGACTGACTAGTTAACTTGCTAATGGAGGCTGCGTGGAGCAGAAACAAAATCATTGTGAGGAAATGCTGTTAATATAATAATAGAGAAACATTTCGGGAATGGCTTTGCCGTGCCATATGTACACAAAATGCAGCGGTTCGTCCCAGCGCTACACTTGCATCTACGCTTCTTGCATCTTGGCGGCTGTCGCACTTAAATACACAGCACTTCATTGTATTAGTTTTTACGCAGTCTTCAACTCAAAAATTGCTCACAAATTGCAAATTAACACATTTTAAACTGATTTTTCACTAATAATTCATATTTCTCTTTCGCTAATTTGTAAACAAAGGTTTATTTACAAGTTACCACAACTGTCAAAATCGGCAAAACCAAAGTAGCGGTACCACTGACGGCGCCACCTTTGTTCGCTGCACCGTGCTATTGGATCGTAAGTGTCTTCTTCTTTCTGCCCCAAACAACCCGGACGTTTTCTCCGGATAAAAATGGATAAAGTGCCAAAGTGCATATCAGCAGTTTTGTGTTTACATGTCGCCTGCATTTACTTGGTGCTTTTTATATACTTAAAATCAAATTTGTGAAACCAAAATTCAATTTCCAAGTGTGTGCATTTAAATGACAAAAACAAAAACAACGTGAATCAGCTGTTTCTCAAATTCTGGGCACGAAATGTGGTTTTCAGCGTTCCCGTACTTCTGGACTACGTTCCATTTTTGAGAGCAAACTTTCCGCTTATTCTGTTATTACCGGAGCCGGTCTGGATTGTTAGGGAAAGAACCTATTAGGAAATCCATCAATATGGATCACGATCCACATATCGCGCCTATTGATGGTGTGACGGGCGCCTAAATAGCGCCTTATGAAGACTAATCGATACATGATCGATATTTTTTGAAGTCAAGCTCATATGTCGTTATCGACTTTTTGCAACAGCTGATGAGTCTTATTACACCTGGTTTAGTTTTATTGGGGTTATTTAAAACTTTTATAGTTCTGACTGCATTTACGAAAAATAATTAGATTATAATTTAACACGGAACATAGCTTCGTGTTCAAATAGCGTTATGGCTGGTGCTGATGCTCCTATGAATGCTTCTCAAAACCATGCCGAAAGTAGTGGCAGCAACAGCAATGGAGAAAGTAATAGCATTATAGGACCTTCAACAGGATCTGTAATGGTTGCCTCCCTCAAACCCGACGAAATACTTGAAGAATATGGTCCCAATTTAAAGTTATTGGATTGCAATTCGCAAGTAGCTGAGTTGTTAACTATTATCCGCGATAAGTAAGCACACTTCTGATGACATGTGGACCTTAATTTAAAATGTTTCTCTCTGCAGAAATACTACTCGCAGTGACTTTAAATTTTACGCTGACCGTCTTATACGATTAGTCATTGAGGAATCTCTTAACCAGCTACCATATTCGGATTGCCGTGTGGAAACACCGACGGGTGCAACATATGATGGCCTCAAGTATCGCGCTGGAAATTGTGGTGTCTCAATTATACGCTCTGGTGAAGCAATGGAACAGGGCTTACGTGATTGTTGCCGTTCAATACGCATTGGAAAAATATTGGTTGAGTCTGATGCAGATACACACGAAGCGCGTGTAGTCTATGCTCGTTTCCCCGATGACATTGCTAGCCGACAAGTCTTGCTAATGTATCCTATAATGTCGACTGGTAATACAGTTCTGCAAGTAGGTAGAAAAAAACTATGTAGCTTATTTTTTGGTCGATTCCAATATGAATATTTTTAGGCTGTCAATGTTCTCAAGGAACACGGCGTACCGGAGAGCTGCATTATATTGTCAAACCTTTTCTGCACACCAATCGCAGCTAAAACTGTAGTTGGTGCTTTCCCCAGGCTTAAAATTCTTACTTCCGAGCTGCATCCTGTCGCACCAAATCATTTCGGTCAAAAATATTTTGGTACCGACTAGCACAATGATAGAAGAGTATATTCCAAACATTTTAGTTTTTAAAATTATCAGGCAGGCTTTGCCATTCATTTTCGAGTGAATTTCAACCCTTGCAAATTTGAATTCAAAGCGAGTGGAATTCACTCGGAAGTGAATTTCAGAACCTGCCTGTATATTAGAGATTTTTAGCTTTATGCATATTATTAACTTAAAACGGAAAAGTTGTACTTAAAGATCGTTGCAACTTTTAGTTTAGCAACTTTTTTTAATTTAAAAAAGATTGTATATATTTATTTAATTTTGGTATGATGCAATATTAATCAAATACTTGTAACAAAGTAAATTATGTATATTAGTATTGCAAAGCATCAGAAACATTTTAGATTCATTACATTTGCAAAATTTGAACTGGTGTTTTACCACTCATTAATATTTTTCATTAATAAAATGCATAGTCGGTTTTACAAATATCAGCGTTCTCAGTGTTTGTGTTCATCATATTAGTAGCTAAAATCTCATCCTAACCCAGGTCGACAGAAACCAAGTTTAGTACCTATTGAAATTTAATTCTTTATTTAGAAATGCTTACATAAAGGGAGACAGCACATTTAAAAGCCAATTTTTTAGTCACGATTGAATTTGACTGTAGTTTTAACGTTCGAGTTAGCTGGTTTTCATGATCTAAGTTAAAGTGACCCTAAGTTACAAAAGCGTCGACACGCGTTTTATAAATTACAGCATAAAAAACAAGGGGTGTTTCGCCACAATTAAAACAAATTAAGAAGACATCTTGTAATTAACAACCGTATCCACTTTATGCAGTCCAGTTGAGAAAGAACGAAGCTGTACAGCCTGCGCATTTTGTATAAATACAGCGCCGGTTTCATCCCACTTTTCGGGAATCTCGCAATTCTGCAGCGTGTATAACATCACATCGAAAGTACAAATGCAATCGAGCAACGGCAAATAACTGACAGTTGCCGATATCTGTCGCATAACATCACGTATTTCGTTTTGTATACGTTTCAGTTCCTTGCTGGAAGTGAGTTTTGTGGAATTGCTCGTATCACCATCGCCCAACTCCGCCTGCATTTTGAAGTCCCAACACTCCAATACTTCTTTAGTGTGTGCATTTGTTATAATCATTGAAATTTTCTCAATCATATTCTTGGCAAGCCACTCTGTAACAAAATATAGTTATTATACGAAAAATATAATACCTCATTAACCTTTGTGCGATATTAAAAACCTTCAGTTTGTTGCAATACATTTGCCAAGAAGTCTTCAATCTTTTTATCCTTCGACATCAGAATAGTTATGCCATATTGTTGGGTATTCTCAAAAGTCTCTGGTGGATAGATTCCACGTTGAAATAGAATAGAATTAATGCCATATTCTGCAAATGGATGGAAAGAAAATAATACCGTTTAAAATACATCTTTTCGGTAATATGTATAGTTGGCGCCATTGGCCAAGTGCATTGGCCCTGGTTCCCATACTTACTTAAATATTCAACAATAATTTGCGCTGAACCACGTAGTGTAATGCAATTTTTTGTAGTTTGTGCAGTGGACATAATTTTGATAAATAATAAAGCAAGAAAAGTAAAATTTACAATCCAGAAATTAAATTAAACGCTCTACCACAGAAAAGACATAAGCACAAGGATGCACAGCTTGGTCTGTAATATTTTCTTAATCCAGGGTTTTGTGCTATTTATTGAATTTAGGGCTGCCAAGCCTCCTATTTTTAATACTTAAACCATATATGTAATACTTCTATATTGGCAGTAAGAGCTAGTACTGTCCGAAAACACTACAGTACAGATATATCAATAAAAACGTACGAAAGAAAAGGAACACATACGTTTATAAATAAACATGTACATAACACATATACAAAAACAGCACTCAAGTACACAACACATTGACAAAAACCGTACTAGACTGTCTCGCTTTGATTTCGGAATGCTTAAGGCCCGTCCACATAGAACTTTGGCGTTGCGTTGGCGTTGGCGTCGCTTCAACAGCTGACTATGAATACATGAATTCAAATGCACCCGTCCATATAGCCAGAATTCGGCAACGCTCACGCCAACACAAAGCAAAAAGATGGCCAACTCTCATCTTTTCGCGTGCGTTGCTCGTCAGCTGTTGCAAATAAATAAAATTGTGTGAAATATTTTACCCTTTTTAATCAAGTGCAGGCAAGAAATATCGTTTTTAATGCAATTATTGATATGAAATATTAATTTATCCGTCGTTAGTATGTTAATTTAGTGGCCCAAGCATTCGCTGCCAAGCGTTCATTGTAGCAAGCATACTTTTAACGTGCATTCTGTCAAACCAACGCCAACGCCAAAGCCAACGCGAAATTTCTATGTGGACCGGCCTTAACACATTGGCCGAATTTCTTTATTCATTCTGAACGTTTGGAATAAACTTTTTTGTTTACTTATTCTTTAGAACGTTCCTGATGATATGTTAACGTATATTTCAAAAGCATTCTGTTTATTCCGGCTGTGAAATGGGATTATCCGGAATGTATAAAGAAACGCAGCCATTGAGAAGTTAGCTTACTGCCAATATAGAAGTATTACATATATGACTTAAACATATACACGGTGCAGCGAACAAGGGTGGCGCCGTCAGTGATACCGCTACTTTGGTTTTGCCGATTTTGACAGTTGTGGTAACTTGTAAATAAACCTTTGTTTACAAATCAGCGAAAGAGAAATTTTAATTATAAGTGAAAAATCTGTTTAAATTGTGTTAATTTGCAATTTGTGAGTGATTTTTGAATTGAAGACTGCGTAAAAACTAATACAATGGAGTGCTGTGTGTTAAATTGCGGCAGCCGTCAAGATGCAAGAAGCGTAGATGCAAGTGTACCGCTGGGACCAATCGCTGCATTTCGTATACATAGGGCACGGCAAAGTCGTTCCCGAAATGTCTCTCTATTATTATATTAACAGCATTTCCTCAGAATGATTTTGCTTCAGCTCCAAGCAGCCTCCATTAGCAAGTTAACCAATCAATCCCGCTGAGATGCTGCCGCAGTTTTCTGCAGCAGCCTTAATTGCAAAGCGATGGAGTGCACTAAAACATTTGCGGAAGCAGCCTCAATTGCAAAGCAATGTAGTGCACTAAAATAATCACTGTTCTCTATAAGATTAGGTGAAAAATGCAATATTTTCGCATTTAGCAAAATTAAAACACGTTTTTCGCTAAAAATTGAACTGTTTTGGCAGTTTCAACTCGTTCTTCTTTTCGCTTATTCTTTGTTTACTTGTGGTACACAAATGTCAACGGCCAGTACGGCGCAATCTTGTATTCTATCATTCTTGAAACATATACAACGTTTAAGGTGACATTAGTCAAAACGTAACCTAACGGTAGCTAAATCCTAGTCAGCAGTCAGCTGACAAGATCTATCTTACCAGAGCGACATGTAAATGAAACTCAACACCGCAGAATTTTTCTTGGCAATCAGCTGTTTACTTTCATTTACGGCGAGTTTACATTAGACAATGCTGTCAAGACAATAAAGAAATACGTATTAGTTGTCAAAAACGCTGATAATTTTATCCGTGGCGTAGGCGTCCTGACAATAGTTATGACCATTCATTTGGAGTAAAATGTCGTACGTGAATGTTATATTATAATACGCATTTCGGGCGAGCTATTTAAGTTTCAAACTAAAAAATTATAAAGAAGAGACAAAGTTACAAACACATAAGCGTCTCTAGTATTATTTTAGACCTTTTGTTATGAATTTCTCTTCTTTCTTGCACAAGACGACAAAATTATTGTCTGCATACGTCAAATCATTGTCCGATCTACTATCTTGAAAATAATCAAGACAGTGATTGAGGCGATTGGTAAAGTATGCATGTATTGAAAAAGTGGGCATGTATTGCTATTGTCATGACAGTATTGCACGGTGTAAACCCCAAGTTAATTTCAGGAATTCGAATTTGGTTCCGTTTATGCATAATTCGCGAATTCATGAAATGCATTCCCACGACAGCCGGTTCTACATACCGGAATGACTCGGGTTTTACCCGGCCAAGGGCTGTTGTTTCGGCGATCTAATCCCGTTAAAGTCGGCGAAATCCATCAAACGTTGTTCGATACTAGGGGTACATCTTCTCCGTACCCTTCTGCTCAAGGCTGGCATAGAGTCCAACTCAAGGCCAGAAATTTACACCTGCTGCGTATGCCAGAGACGACTGCATACAAACTCCACCTCGGTCAGGTGCAATGCCTGTGAAGTACGCACCGGCAATGGACCACGTCTTTCGTGGCCCCATGCTGTGCGAATCGGATCGCCTCCACGGCAAACCACCACCCGCCCGTGGAGAACAGAGCCAACACACCCACACCCCAACACAACACAACACAACAATATACACACAAGCAAACACAACAGCACCCACACACCGCCGCCGGCCACTCCTAGTCCCTCCAAAAATATACTCGGTTTGTCAGTCCAGAATATACCTTAACGTGACATCAGTCAAGTGCAACTCCTGCCACTTTAGGGCATGCTCAGGACTTCGCAACACACATGATTGGACGAGTGACTATGTGGGCCACTGCTGTGCTGCCCAGTCCCAATAATCACCAAAAAAATATTTCTCCAACCTTGGAGAAATTCATAGTTCTCAAGTTGATATCGATATAGCTTTCGGTTTGATATAGGTTTCACTTGATAATTCAAAATTCGTTTCTTTATCGCTTTTTAGGTATCTGCGCGTCGGTTAGAGATGAGTTGGAGAATGATGTTGGATATCAACTTGAGAACTATGAATTTCTCAATTTACCAACATAAAGTAAATAATCTTCAAAGTATCATCAAATAATCTTAAAATAAAATAAAAAGCAAAGTGATTGAAGTGGCAAAATTACTGTCGAACTGACAGTGCACTGCAGGCTGAACTATCACCTGGCTAAATTGGGAATTTACTCGCATGAGCGATGCAAGATGCAAAACGAGACTGCGCAGCACATCTTAGAAGAATGTCCTGCAATGATGCACAAACGCAAAAGGAACCTGGATGAACATCTGATAACCAACGTCGAAATGAAATCCGTACATTTAGGTTCCAACAGGGATCGTAAATAACAAGAAGGGACAACTCGTTATAATTTTGGCGAAAGTGCACAACAGGGGCGTGCCTTCTCTTTTGCGTTTTTTGATTGGATGAAAAGAGAAATACCGCCCCTGTTGCGCACTTTCGCCACAATTATAACGAGTTGTCCCTTCTTGTTATCTACCTTCTTTAGTTCCACTAACTTTCTCTCGGGTACTAAATTGATAGACACACTATAAGCCATGAAGGGGGCACAATAGATCTTAAGGTCGCAGTGCTCTATCCCCAAAAATAATAATAATATATACCCAAAATCGTAGTGTATTAAGTTGAAGTTGGTTGCCTACGCAAGCAAATGGGTGAAAGTTGAGAAAAGCTACTCTGTGCACATTCGAATGCGTATTCGAATTCAAGTTAGAATTTTGGTCCGTTGTCTGCGTTTGCGCGCGTACATATGGAGTTCCTCCCATAAGCACATGTACGTATACGCACGCATACGCCCGTATGGAGTTCCAGCATAAGTATAACCAGCTCTTTAAGTCCGAACGCTGCACAACACTATAGTGAAACAGTGTGTTGTACTTTTGTATTTTTCCCGTTTTACTAAAAAAAATTTACAATGCAGTGTTGCCACTTTGTGAGTGATTCCTCAAAACGTGAAGAATTTCGGTATTTTTATTTTGAGGAATTTTCTCTCGATATATTTGCAGATAACAAATGCAACGATGTTTTTCACAACAGAGTTGTTAAACCGCTCAGCAAATTTTTGAACAAAAAGCTTTCCGAAGTTTTATAAATAACGAAATATAACCATTCTTCCAACCTACTTTTCCTATTTCGTCATACACTAGCTGCATTTTTTTGTAAGCGAGCGAGAACAGAACGCTCAACCCGGGTAAAATTTCTTTTTAACTACTTAAGAAACCCTCTTGATAACTGGTAAGAAACATGTGACTAGTTTAAAGGGATTTAGACACAAAACCAATTTAAATGAGTAATTATGCGAGGTATTTGCGTATACTTCTGTGTTCGTATGGAAAAGTAGCTTATGTCGAAAGGCTGGCTTTAGTATAATGCGGCATTCCCTTTATTCTTTAAACGACAAAGATTTTTTTGATGAGACTTAATAAGAATATTGACTTGCTAGTATCGGAGCTATTTCTTGCACGTTTATTTGCCAAAAGTTCTCAACGGCTCACCGCCAGTGAGTCATTCGCAATCGTATGCTGCGAATGCCGATTTATACTAAAGCCAGCCTTTCGACATAAGCTACTTTTCCATACGAACACAGACTTATTTAAAACATAAGTCATGTATACAAGGAAATAAAAATTTCCCTCTCCACTTTCCCATTAATTATTCACAATAAAGCAGTTTTTTCACTCAACAACACTACCCTTGCCTGCCGAGGGACGACCGCTGATAAGAAAAAACCTTTTTCTTGAACCCGGGTGCTGATGAGTGAAAGCGCGCACTGCTTACCACTGCACCACAGCGGTCCACTCAGGTTCATGTAAGTTTCCCAATTAAAAAAAAAAAATTATATCTGCATTACTGATACTTTGTTTGAACCGCAAGAATAAATGTACCAATTGAATTGGAGAATGTAATTAATTTCCATACTAAGTACCTGTAAATAGAATGTAGTGCACAATACTCATATCTGTAAAAAGAAAATTTTTAGTAATTTGTTTGGATTTTGACGATTTTTCATTTGCTTTTGAGGAATTTGGTTTTTTTTGTGGCAACATTGGTTCATTTTTTGCCTTGTGATCAGTGTTGCCAGAAGGAAATGTATCTTCAAAATGACATTTTTCATAAGTAATCAATATATCTTCACATAAAAAAATAAACGCCATACAAAAAACCTTCACAGTGAAGATATTTGGTAGCACTTGAAGATTATTTTTGGATAGTTGGCAACAAATTTTTCGTTTTTATCGTTAATTTACTGCGGCACATGTGAGAGTAGGACCGCTGGAACGTTGAACTGTGCCCACTGTAAACACTGGTTTTCAGCAGTTGACACTGGTGTTGGAAACAAATTTTCGTTTTTGTCATCAATTTACCTTGCAGGTTAGGTAGATATTAACATTGATTTCTATGGATATGTTCTTGACTTGATTTTGCCTGCTATAAGTGGAATTCTTTATACAAAGGATTATTTAAAAAGGTACGGTCATGAGCGCCGTGATATAGATTTAAATGAGAACAAACATTTATTAATTAAAAGTACAATTTACAAGGCTTAAATTAATTACATATGTCGTACCTGCATATCTTTACAGTTCTATGCATTTTTCGTTATTACTCATATATAATATGTAGTTATAAACATGATAAAAACATTAGAAGGTAAATTCATTTTCTCAATTCGTCGGCCATGATTTTTTTCTGACATTTGCAAACATTTTAAAATGATATAAAATTGAAAATAATAAAATGAAATGGTTCCCAATAGTTGTTGTTTGAGATTAAAAACGAAAATGTGAGTTAAAATTTTTAAATTATATTGCTGCCAAACGTCAGACTGCCTTTCAATGATTTTACCTTGTAATATTTTTAACATGGTTATAAAAATACAAATGAAAATACTCGTATGTTTTGTGAACTAGTCAAGTAAAACTGTTATGAATTCATGAACTTGTTATTTTTACTTATTTATTAAAAAAATGTGATGGTTTTATATACTTAATAAAATTTAATTAAAAAAATTAGTTTTTTTTGTTATGAAATCTTCAATAACTTTCAACAATACTTCTTTTTTGGGTAAACAACAACAACAAGAATTATAAAAGGTTAAAGTTCAAAATGAGCAATTTTTGAAATCACGATTTCTCAAAATCGAATGAATTTTGATCTCATTTAATAGGAAATTTGATTTCCTTTAATTTGGTATACGTGCTTTATATATATGCGGTATAGCTCTTACAAAAATTGAATTAATGTAAATTAATTATAAAAAAGCCTACAAACCCTAAGTGCGGCCGACGCCGCCTACGCAGAAAGGTCTTCTCTGCAAAAGGTGGTCAGTGCCTTTTCTTCGCAACACAGAAAGATAATTCTACGTTGTGAGGGTTATAATTCCTAAGTGCGTTTACAGTGCCTTTTCTTCGCAACACAGAAAGAGAATTCTACGTTGTGAGGGTTATAATCCCTAAGTGCGACCGAAGGCCGTCTACGCAGAAAGGTGTTCTCTGCAAAATGTGTTTTTTTTATAATTATTATTTATATTTAAAGTAGGTATACCAAATTAAAGGGAATCAAATATCCTATTAAATGAGATCAGTTTAATAAATTTGCAAGATCCATCCATTCGTTTTTAAGAAATCTTGATTTCAAAAATTGCTATTTTGAAATTTAGCCTTTGATAATTTTTGTTGTTGTTGTTTGCCCAAAAAAAAAGGAAGGATACCGTTATACTCAGCTCAATCATCTCCATCGATTCCAATTTTTTTTTTTTTTTAGATTTAGAGCCCAACTGCATTTGTTCCGATTTTTTCTAGTTTCAGTAACCTCCTATGGTTTTTTTGTAGATTTTACAACTTGGAAGATTTTTATTTATTTATTTATATATTAATCTAGAAAATAAACATTTCATATAGACTATTTGGCAAAAAAATAAAATATAAATTAATAACTAATTTAGCATACTATTTAAGAGTAGTATGAAATTAAACTTCGAAGAGAAATCGTAAGCAGAAGAGTTTAGAGCTCTGCGAATACCAAACTTTCTGGCAACACTGCTTGTAGTCTGTCAACGCCACTGTTCTCCTCGTTCGTTCGGATTTCGCAGCTCAACTCGTAGAAATTGTTTTGCATTTGTGTCGGGACGGTAATTTTCTTTTGTGCTATGTTTTTAAAAAATAAAAATTTAATGCTACTTGGCAAAATATCGATAACCTAAAGTGTAACCGTGTTAATAAATGCAGCGCAGTTTAGTGCTTGTGTAATGAAGACTGGCATAGTTTCTATGAATAGAATGTCGACCCTTTTCGGTGTTCGAAACAATCCTGTTCAGTGATTAGGAAGAAAGGAAAAATACCAAGTGGATAAGAAATCGAGTGTTAAAATTTCTTATAAAATATTCTAAAAGTGTAGGATATTTTCAGTTATTTGTGTAGACCTTCACTTAAATATTCGGTTGCAAGTGTATAATCGAAGCTTGTACTTACATATGTACAAATATGGGTGTGCACTAAATTTTGGTGATCGTAAAATTTGCTGTGAAATCAAAAATCGTAACGTAGAATAGCCTTCACATACTTTGGAAGTAGACGACTTTATTCTGTTGCAAATTGGCCCTATGCCACATTTTTGCTGATAGTAAAGCGTTTTTCTCTTAGCATATCAGCAGCAAAACGAAGATAAACCTCTGCATGTAATAAATAAAACAATTTAACATCCATTGCTGTATCATTAAATTTCGAAATTCGGAAATGCTGATGGGGCCGAAATGCGTTTTTCCTTTTATTTGACATTCCTGCAATTTTGTTGTGTTTTTTATTTCGTTTGTCTTTTATTTACAGTGGTCCTTCCAATGCTGCACTCTTTTGAATTGTATATCACCTTCTTTGTTTTTCTTTGCGAATTTGCTTTATGATTTTCGTGTGGACAAAAAGTGGTGCAGCTCGTGAATCATAATTTTAAATATGTAGAATGGACATACTTGTGATTTTATAAGTAAAATATCTGCTGGTGTTTTTATTTTCATTAACTGCAGTTGTAATAAAAATGCGAAATTAAGTTGAAAAGTGAATCTGATATTCCCATTCCTTAGCGAAGTAAATTATTTTTTTATTAAGGTTAATAAAATATTTCTTCTGACATCTAATTGGGTCCGAAAAAATATGCCTTTATTATTAAAAATGTACATAAATAGAAACCTTACATTTAATCAGAGGAGAAAAATCACCATCATCCAAAAGTAATAACATACCTATCGTCACCTTCATTCACAAAATCCCTAACCAGCAATTTTTGTATTTTACAGGAGTAGCAAATAATAGAGGTTGTTCACACTTGCCTGGTTATCAGGTTATGTGGTTATATTTTTTATTCAGTTTACAACAATAAAGTACACAAATTAATTTTTAACCACATAACCTGATAACCAAGCAGGTGTTAAAAACCTCATTATGAAAATTGAATCATACATACGCATTGGGCATTTTAAAAAGTGGCATAACTTTTATTTTTGGTACTAACACGTTCAAATTTTTAAGGAAGTTGTATTTAAATATATCCCACCAAAATCTGTGGAAAACGCAGTTTCCAAAAAAGTGTTCGAAACTCCATACTTATGTAATTACAAAGGCCTTATCCAACACTTTTTTTCGAAACTGCGTTTTTCACAGATTTTGGTAGCATGTATTAAAACACACCATCAAAAATAAAAAATTTTGAAGTGTTATTACCAAAAATACCGGAGCTACATGCCACTTTTTAAAAAGCCCTACCTGGAGCGAGATTCTGTAACCAATTAGCGACAAATGATATAAATGTTTTTGCGTCAAAAAGTGCGATAGCGATCCGAAAATTGTCGCCCTTCTGGTTACAGAATCTCCTCGCTGTTTCGGATACTTATTTTATAACGTTTTTTGCTTCTGTAAAATAAAAATCGTTGGTTAGGGCCTTTGTGAATTAAGTTGATGATATGTATGTACATATAAGCTGTTCAGTGCACAAATTGATTAACTCCAGCAACAAAAAGTTGGGAGATGCGATCAAATGTACATTATTTTTTAATATTCCATTTATATTATTAAATCAAACAATTAATGTTATAAATATTATGTACTATTTTATTTTATATAAAGTTATTATAAAGGTAATAAGTTATGACTATACTAAGTGCTTTGACACTTAAATTTAAGATTTTTTAGAAAAAGGAGTTAATCGATGTATGACTGAACGGCTCATATGTAAGTATATACAGTTGTCCACAAAATAATAGGAGTGCGATATTTTGACCAGTTTCGGCTATTTGTCTTTTGTTTATTTAATGTTTATTATGTTTTATAAAAGTCTAGCTGATTATACAAAAAACACTACAAACTTAAAAACTTCGCAAATTTTCATTCAAATTTCAAACCTTTTATCAGAATCTTTATAAAAAATTGTGGTATGCAGCTCAGTAGCCCATTTAATTCTAGTAAATTGAATACAGCTAAAGTGTAGGTTACAAGTTGCTAAAAAATCCCGTTAATTTTTTAAAATTGTTTTGGTTGAAGGTGTTTCACGTTTTTTCCATACAATTTTCTTTTATATGGAAGACACTGTCTGCAAATAAAAAAAATGCCAAAAATCAACGAAATTTTTTAACAGCTTGAAACTTGCACTTCATTGTACTAGGACTAAATGGGCTACAAAACTGCAAACCACTATGTTTTCTAAAGATTCTGATTAAAAAGTTTGAAATTTGGCTGAAAATTTGCGGAGTTTGTATAATTCTTGTACAAAGTTTGAAATCAGAATTTATATGCTGTTTGTTGTTTAAGCACCTAGATATTTATAAAAAAATAATAAACATAAAATTAACAAAAGACAAATAGCCAAAACTGGGTAAAATATCGCACTCCTATTATTTTGTTGACAACTGTATGTATGTAGATACTGAGTGTTCAGGAATGTATGTATGTACATAAATATATGCATATGTAGAGATTGAGTGTTCATGAATCAACGCAAGCGAAAATATTAAAAATATAATTAGTGCTACAACAAAAGAAAATATATTTAATGAGATATTTCGCAATTGAAATAAAGAAAATAAAATAGCAGAATGCATTGTGATAATACGAAAACATCATCAGAAATAGAACACGTTGATTGGAGCACTGGCACCGGCTCAGGACATCACTATGCTAATGTCAGGTAAATAACACTTCCTCTAAAGAAAGCAAATATCAAATACTTTCTACTTGTGTACTATGTACATACATTAGGCTGATCCAAATTAACTAAGCTAACCAATTTATGGCCTTAACCCTGGACGTGCTTCGTTAGTCGATTCGACTAACAAAAATCGCGTTTCTCTTTGTACCTCTCTCTGAGTCAATTGCCTTTTTGTTTATTAGGGAAATATTTACTTATTTGTACAACGATTTTGTCGTGGAGCGGAGGGGGAGTGGACGCCGCTTTATGAACGTGAATGTATGTAAAAACAAGTAATTTTTAGCAAAAAAAAACCCTTCAACTCTCATATAAAAAAAATATATGTATATATATATATATATATATATATATATATATATATATATCTCATGATCCACTGATCGGATCTTAACCAGATTAGTATGGGACCACCTCTGAGACACTACCTTTCTGCAAAAAGAATTATCGAAATAGGTTAACGTGGTCCAAAGTTATGCGGTAACATACATAAAAAAAAATAAAAAAAAAAATAAAAAAAATAAATAAAAAAAATAAAAAAAATAAATAAAAAAAATAAATAATAAAAATATTCCGACGAACTGATAACCTCCTCCTTTTTTGGAAGTCGGTTAAAAATATAAAGAACTAAAAATCATGAAGTGATTTTCCCTTTTAACTGTTTTATGTTTGTTATTTAAATTCAAAGTTTGTGTTAGCCGTTTCGACTAACAAGCCCGCATAAGAATGAAGCACTTCCAGGGTTACTAAGAAGAAAATTCTCCGATTTGGAAAAATGTTTATTCCAAGTTTAAAAGGTGTTGGTGGGCATTAAAAATGTTTTAACTATTTAACCGTTTGAGATAAAATTTGTTTCTTTGCATATTCTTACAGGGCATTAAATTCTCTCCATAGGCTTATAGTTTTTAAGTAATTTGCATTTAAACTTGTAAAAATTGTCAAATTAAACCTCACTTTTTGCTTTGTAGACCAACTGAACTGAAATATCGGTGCTGCCACACATAACATAAAATGCCAAAATAAAAATTAACACCGAAGGCGGGAAGCAATAAAAACGCACATAATACGGTTTTTTTTTCATGATATATCAATGTATTGATTCAAACAAATGCGCTGCAGTCTAAGATCGGGCTTATTAAATCGGGATTATTAAAAATTGTAGTGATTTATCGAAGTATCAATGCTTAAGAAAAAAGGAACGCAGGCGAAAATTTGTAATGAAAAATCATGCGATTTCATTATTTATTGAAGCATTGTTTTTATAAAAAACAAATCTCAGTGTTATCATATGCATTCAACATATATAAATGTAGTAAGTGTACTAGTGAACCCGCGTGGCCTTAAAACGCCCAAGATTTGATTTTTTTTGTTTTCTTTTCTATTTATTTAGCTATTAATCTAGAAAATAAAACATTTCGTACAGACAATTTGGTAAAAAATCTATATAATATATCTGTGTTCATATGGAAAAGTAGCTTATGTCGAAAGGCTGGCTTTAGTATAATGCGGCATTCCCTTTACTCTTTAAACGGCAAGGAATTTTTTGATGAGACTTAATAAGAATATTGACTTGCTAGTATCGGAACTACTTCTTGCACGTTTATTTGCCAAAAGTTCTACAACAGCTCAGCGCCAGTGAATCATTTGCAATCGTATGCTGCGAATGCCGATTTATACTAAAGCCAGCCTTTCGACATAAGCTACTTTTCCATACGAACACAGATATATATTATATAAAAATGGTGTGAATAATGTATAGTAATTCATCAATTGAGAACGGTTGGGCCGATTTGGCAAATTTTTTTTTAAGTTGTTCGTAATTCCAAGGAGAAAATTTTGTGAAAACCCTCCGGTGGACTAGGGACCGATCTATCCGAAAAAATCGCATTTATCGTCCGATTTGCTTAAAATTTGGTACGTAGGTAGCTTTTTGCCTATGTTAGCAAAGAGGATCCTTTCTTCCGGGAAGTGGACCAGGGACCCATCTATTCGAAAAAATCGTATTTATTGTCCGATTGGCTTAAAATTTGGTACCTAGGTAGCTTTTTGCCTAGATTAGCACATAGGATGCTTTTTTTCCGGAAAGTGGACCAGGGACCGACCTATTCGAAAAAATCGTATTTATCGTCCGATTTGCTTAAAATTTGGTGTGTAGGTAGGTTTTTGCCCAGATTACCATATGGAATATTTTTTTTCCGGGAAGTGGACCAGGGACCGATCTATTCGAAAAAATCGTATTTATCGTCCGATTTGCTTAAAATTTGGTGTGTAGGTAGGTTTTTGCCCAGATTACCATATGGAATATTTTTTTTCCGGGAAGTGGACCAGGGACCGATCTATTCGAAAAAATCGTATTTATCGTCCGATTTGCTTAAAATTTGGTGTGTAGGTAGGTTTTTGCCCAGATTACCATATGGAATATTTTTTTTCCGGGAAGTGGACCAGGGACCGATCTATTCGAAAAAATCGTATTTATCGTCCGATTTGCTTAAAATTTGGTGTGTAGGTAGGTTTTTGCCCAGATTACCATATGGAATATTTTTTTTCCGGGAAGTGGACCAGGGACCGATCTATTCGAAAAAATCGTATTTATCGTCCGATTTGCTTAAAATTTGGTGTGTAGGTAGGTTTTTGCCCAGATTACCATATGGAATATTTTTTTTCCGGGAAGTGGACCAGGGACCGATCTATTCGAAAAAATCGTATTTATCGTCCGATTTGCTTAAAATTTGGTGTGTAGGTAGGTTTTTGCCCAGATTACCATATGGAATATTTTTTTTCCGGGAAGTGGACCAGGGACCGATCTATTCGAAAAAATCGTATTTATCGTCCGATTTGCTTAAAATTTGGTGTGTAGGTAGGTTTTTGCCCAGATTACCATATGGAATATTTTTTTTCCGGGAAGTGGACCAGGGACCGATCTATTCGAAAAGATCGTAGTTATGGTCCGATTTGCTTAAAATTTTGTACGTAGTTAGCTTTTGGCCTAGATTAGACGTGTGTCAAGTTAGCACTACACTTTTCGAAATTGGAAAAGTTAACTACAGCATTAATTGTAGTGTTTTTGATGAAAATTTGTTGTAGAAAGAAAAAATTTGTAGCTCTCGTTTTTTAAGAAAAAATGGCATGTAGTGCTAACTTGACACCATACACCTAGTCGATAGAATTGAGATATCCAGTATGTTACTATGCCATTAATTGTAGCTTTAAACTTTAAAATTTGTTGTGGAACGAAAAAATTTGTAGCTCTCATTTTTTAAGAAAAAATGGCATGCAGTGCTAACTTGGCACCTTACTCCAAGTCGATAGAATTGTGATATCCAATATGTTACTATGCCATTAATTGTAGCCTTTAACTTTAAAATTTGTTGTGGAAAAAAAAAATTTGTAGCTTTCGGTTTTCTGGAAAAAATTGAGTTGACCCTTTTTCGAACAAAATTTAGTATGTAGTGCTAACTTGATACCATGCACCATTGACGACAGAATTGAGATATTGAAAAGGTTACAACGGCATGTACCATTGTCGACAGAATTGACACATGACAACATGGTGTGATAGCTATTGCCATTGCCGTGTAAAACTGGACAGTTGAAAGCATTGCTTGGGTATTGAGCTAGAACTGGTACTGTCGGCGGTATAGTTCTAACTAGTCAGATTTGATTTTCTGCAGGGTATGATTTTGTTCGAAAAAGGGTCAACTCAGTTTTTTCCAGAAAAACGAAAGCTACAATTTTTTTCTTTTCACAACAATTTTAAAATTAAAAGCTACAATTAATGGCATAGTAACATATTGGATATCTCAATTCTATCGACTAGGAGTATGGTGTCAAGTTAGCACTGCATTCCATAATTAAAAAAAAGGCGAGCTACAAATTTTTTCTTTCCGCAACAAATTTAAAACAAAAACAATACAATTAATGCCATAGTTAACTTTTCCAGTTTCGAAAAGTGTAGTGCTAACTTGACACACGTGGCTGCGTCATGTCGCTGCTGGTGTGAAAGTACTCAGAAAAATCGTGCCGGTATCGGCTGAAAACTTTTCTTGAGCGTTTTTTATATGAGTTTTTGTGTTTCTTGAAAGCTGGATACTATGTTTTATTCTGTATGGAATGGCCAGAGTCTGATTCAGGAAAAGTGCGTCAAATAATAATGACACGTTTCAAATTTAGCTTTCCACCAGACACACATCGACACGTTTACTGGGATTTTTACTTTTATATGACTTTAGTTCACAAACTTTACCGTCTGCCTTCGAATGGCCGCGCTATTGGAAGATCTGCCAATATAACTTTCAAAGACAGGGGTTTCCTGAAATCGTTTAGTTAAAAGCGTGAAGTACAAACGTATTTATACATATGTACATATGTCAAAATATATCTGCATGCCTTTATATGTTTTAAGAAAGCATCTCATTTTGATGCATTCAAGCAGAAATGAAGGAAATATTAACAATTTGCCATATAAATAATTATGGTTGTTTATTACTTTGCGAAGCCTGTATGTCATTCTTGTCGGCTTCAAACCTTCATTTCTTTGTTTATTGCATATTATAGTTTGCAGATAAGATTGCGTGTGAATTTAAATATTTCTGACAATAATATCGTAGTCGTGAAGAACGCAATAAGAAAAATCATAATAAATATAGTCGAAATATCCCTTAAGCCCTAGGGGCTCTTTAATTACTAAAATTTTTGCTTTAAAAAAATTACAGCAATTTCACTTTCAACGCTTTTTTAATGGAAAAGCGACAATTTTTATACAAATAAAATACTTATGTACTCAGCGTGACGTCACGTTGACCGACCCAAAACACATTTGTGCGAATATTTCGGAAACCGAGAAATATTGGGTTGGCTACAGGTACAAGCAGAAAAACAAAAGAAATAATTTGTCTACATAGAGAGTAGTCCGGAAGAACCAAATCTAGAATAGTGGTTCAAAAATGTCTAACTACTAAGAGTAGTTTTTATACTTAATTCGG